GTTATATACCCGTTATATACGCGAATATATACCCTTCAATCGGAAGGCTGTGGACTATGATCAGTTGCAAACTCATTGTTTTCTCAGCAATAAGAAATGCGTACGATGCGATGGAAGAAACGATATCTCATCGTCGACGATGACGCATTCACGGTATGCGTGCTATTGCGCTCTTTGCTGTATATTTCTGAGTTCTGATATTTTTCGAGATAGCAAATGGCAATAATGGTTAATAAACGCAGCAGCTTAAATAAATACTTGTGAAACTAAGGGGGAAAAAGTAAAACGGTAGAGCAGCGGTAGCGGCTTGCACAGTGGCAGTATAAAAGTATAATCCGACTTAAAGGAGAAAAGAAGAAAAAAAAAAAAAATGATAAGCATATTAAATAAATAGCACTATGCGAATAAATTAAAAAAAAAAAAAAAAAAAAAAAAAAGACGTGTATGCTCTTGTACGACACTCTTAAAATATCAGAACAGCGGTCAAAATGCACGTTCACCTTCGTGATTGCAGCTGTTTTTTCATCTCCGTTCGATTCCCACTGCCTGATTTTTTCAGCGACCTTTTTCAGTACTTAACGTCTTAACTTAGATTAATACAACTTTATACTTATAAGAAATTGAATCATGAACGTATCTAAAGTTATTGTAAACGAGAAGCAAGATATTTTATCATTCCATAACGAAGAAGTCCACTATCTTATCGAGGTGCTGTCCGAACGTATGCACGGAAAATATTCGGCAGCTTTGTTCGATTCGGCCGAGTTGTCGCCGCGTTTCCGTGCCGCAATGGAAACGGACGGGTCGAAAGAATCACGTCGATGTTGTCGAATAAGAGGAACAGTTTCAACACAGGAGTTTTTTTTGAATGGCATTAGTACCTCCGATTTAGGTCGAAATAAGTGGCGACTGTTAAAGGCAAGCGTGTTTCTGTCCTTCTTTCATTTCATCAGTTTATTTTCTGTCTCTCTCTTTCTCTCTCGAAAGATGGTTCATACAATAACTATCTTAGGATATTAATTATATATGATGACGATAATATATTACACGTTTAATGCTTATATATTTGTATATGGTCAAATGGTAGTAGGCTGCGCTTTAGCCAGGGTCGCGTGGGAAAGCATTCGGTTTCGTAGCACCTCTTCTTTCCACGTAGATTATGTTCTTTTTTTCTTCATGTATTAATTAATTAATCATATTAATGTATTACGTGTACATCAAGTTGATAAGCGTTAACGTATAACTTACGTATAACAAGAGAAATACCAACAATCTTAGCCGCGCAAGTATTGTGTTATTAACGATCTTCTAAGATGCTTTTACTTTTAAGTCTACGTTCTACGTTAAAAGATTTATACTCTAGTTTTTTTCTCTACTTGTCGATAAGATAATTTGTTTGTTTTGTGCTAACTTTGCTAAGAAAAAAAAAGAAAAAAAAGAAAAAAGAAAGAGAAAGAAAAATAAATCAAGCGAATGCGCAAACCGAGGACGATTGAACGATAATCCTTGGATTCCTAAGCGCACGTGAAAAGCCAGCTGCCTTCCTATTCAGCGAGCATAATTAAAGAAAAGAACAACGCTGTTTCTCTCACGCAACTCCGGTGGAAGAACGAGCCAACGAAAAAGGAAAGAAAAAAAAAAGAAAAAAAAATGGTATATACACAGGCACACACATTCGCGCATCGCTGAGTGTTAAAAATATTATTTTAGATATATTAAAGTGATAGCAATTAACCGTATGTCTATGAAGATACAACAAAAGCATAGCATCAATGCGTTAATAATAATATAAATATCTATATATAAATATATATGTTCATGTGTGTATGTGTGTGTGTGTGTGTGTAATATATGAACAATATATATACATAGATATATATATATATATTATATATACATATGCATATACATGTACACTTATCAAATTAACTATACATTATGTACCTATAGCATATAGTCGTTATAATGAAAAGAAAGAAAAAAAAAGAAAGAAAAGAAACATTGACACGTCGCGTATAATAAAAAAAAAAAAAAAAAAAAAAAAAAAAAAAAAAAAAAAAA